AAGCGATTGCCCTTGCCTCTTCCCAGCTGGGATCCCTCTCCAGGAGAAAGCCCAGCTGAGAAGATATTGGGTAGAGCAAACGATTGCCCTTGCCTCTTTCTAGCTGGGCTCCCTCTCCAGGAGAAAGCCCAACTGGGAAGAAGCTGGAGAGAGTGAGTGAGCTGGGCTCCTCCCTGGAAGAAAGCCCATCTGAGGAGAGGCTGGAAAGGGTAGCCGATCGCCTTGCAGCCTTTCTGCAGCTAGCTGCATCCAGAAGTCTGACCCCCGACTTGTCCACAGATCATACCAAAACCCATGCTTTTGCCCCAAAAAGTTGACCTCGACTTACATTTGAGGTCAACTTATAGTTGAGTATATATGGTATTTCTAATGAAAGTTACTTTCAATCCACCTTTTACTGAAATATTGCAAGAACTGAAGATAGATTCTTTCTTAATCATTCTGAACCAGAGAGTTTATGGTTGATCTTGAAACATGAAGAAGCATTCAAAAAAAACCCCAAAATAACAGCCTATATAAAAAAAAATGCCATACTTTATTTTTTGATTCCTCTTGCTCAACACTTTCTTTCTTTCTTTCTTTCTTTCTTTCTTTCTTTCTTTCTTTCTTTCTTTCTTTCTGTGGTATGTTTATTGTTCAGATGACAAGTCCATACTTTGCAACACAGTACCCCTTAAGAATAAATTATAAGAGTAGAATTAAACTAATGTTAAAACTTTGGTGTTAGAGAAGTGGATCATAGGCCTGTGTATGTGAGAAGACAGAATGAATGCCTGAAGTATACTTGCCAAAAGCAAGCATGCCGCCAATATATACTAGGTGCTGTAGGTTATATTTCAAGGGATGGAAATGGCAAAACTATCCCTGAGTATTCCTTGCCTAAGAAAACCCTATGAAATTAATGGAGTTACCATAAGTCAACAGGCAACTTGAAGGCACATACACACAGAGAGGGAGGTAGAAATATATCCCAGTCCTTGAAGTAAAGAGCGGTTGGGAGTTGTTAATGAGAGCTGAGCTGAATATGCCAGACTATTAATTTTTGTATCTGTTTTCATGTTTAAGAGATGAAGTATGCTTTGTGAAGAAGTTTGGAAAGTTAGACACTAAAAAATCCTTTTTGATTCTGAATCAATCAATTCTGAATCAATCTTTGATTCAGTTGTGTTGAGTGTTTCATTTTTTTCCTGGCTGAATTTTAATTTCTCTTTGCATTTTTTGTGTAGACTTTTTTTTTTTAGTATCTGGTTTTAAAATTCTCAAGTGGCTTGCATTTTTAATCTTGAGATATATGTTGAGCTAAAATTCAGCAGAGATGTTTCAGTTCCAGAGTCATCTCTATTTTATCTGCTGTATGAAAGTCTTGCTATTGTAATCCTTCCCATTACCTGTGTAAATAGGCACACTCAATTGTTTATTGATCTGTCCATAGAAACCTGTGAGATTGTGTTTTTTACTCAGGTCTTCTGGAACATAGTTTTTCTTCCGTAATAAGAGAGCTGGTTGACTACTCTGACCATTATTCTTGTTTACTGAGACTTTTCTTGTGCAAATGATTACTCTAAATAAAATGGTGCAGTTATGAATTTTCACACTTAGTAAGCGCCTGTGATATTCCTGACTTGTAGGTCTGAACCTTATATTTTCAGCTATTGTTTTTAAAGAGCATTGTAGTATTTCTTTCATCTCCTATAGCAGTGTTTCCTAACTTGGCACCTTTGTGATGTTGTGGCCTTCAGCGCTCAATGTGTCCAATGGCTGGGACAGGAGTAGGGATGGGAGACTTGTTTAACACATCGGCAGGACACCTAAGATGTCTACATCAAGATTTTTCCTGAAACTTTCCACAAAGGCACTTAACTTTGGTAAAGACCCAGAAAAGTGAAATCTTTTATAATAGAATAGATCAGGCATTCAACTAATATTGAAAATACAGAAACCCTAAATTATTACAGGCGTTTTGAAATCAATTAACTGTAGAAGATGGTTTTGAAAATATTTATTTAGGGAAATAACCAAGCTTTGAATGAGATTTTCTTTGCCTTCAAAACAATTCTATAGTCCAGAATCCCAACAACTTTTATAGATGCAAGCAGTACAATGTTTGGTTTATTATTATTATTATTATTATTATTATTATTATTATTATTATTATTATGTTAACAGCAGGCTTCCCATTCCACATCAGAATGGCATGTGAAAGTGGGTGGTTTCAGAAGTAATTTACTATTTGCCATGGGAAACTGCTGCTCCACAAATAGAAGCCCAAATCCCCCTTTGTTATGCAGCAGTAGTCCTGGGTTTCCTTGGATGATCTCCTTAGGAGTTTATTTCTGTTGTACCATTATGGCTGCAGGTTTGTTTGTTTTTATCACTATTGTGATATGCTTTATTTGGGTTATATTACCAGACCAAGGCTTCTAATGACAGAGAATATATTTATATGATATTGGATGCTGTGTAGTTTTAGGAAAAAACAAGTACTAAATTGAAATTCTATTTGCATGGTTCCAGAGAGCAAAAGAGAGAGGCTATGCGGACTGTGGTTCAGTCTACATTTTTCAGTAACATCTCTATAAACCTTTCTTTATAATATCTCAAATATGCAAGATGGTGACCTGTGACTCCAACAATATCACTTTTTTTCTCACATGATTTTAAAAAACAATCTTTGTCTGATAAGAGAGGAGCCAGTAGACCCCAGAAGCTATAATAATGGTTTTCGCTCATCATGATATGCATTTTGGATTTTGGATTCATATTATGGTCAACATGGCCAGCTTTCTTTACAAACAGAGCTAATTCCAGTTAGAGTAGACCCATTAAATCAATGGAATTTATGTTTTGATCTATCATGTTTCCACTGATTTAATCACTCAGTTTTATTTGGAACTAACAATTGGATTTAGGCCTTAGTATGAATTTTAGGGCCTCAGAAGATAGCAATGGCAAACCCCCTCTGAACAAATCTTGCCAACCCCCCTCCCCCCCGCCGCCATGATGGCCTTTGGGTTACTAAAAGTCGAAAATGACTTGAAGTCACACAACACACAACAGCATGAATCTTATGTGATCAAGAGACAGTTTGGAGAAGAAACTAGAATCAGCTGACAATTTTGACTTGGTTTATGGTATGAATAAGGATAATGTCTGGTTTCCTCCCTTCATAACTATTTCCCTCCTAATAGCAACTATTCAACATTTGCTGAGAAGTTTAATATATTAATATATTTCATCCCTTTTATCAGAAATGGATATTTAAAATATTGTAGTTGTTTTTTGTCTTGTTGATATTGTTTACCCAGCATGGTACTTTAACACAATATTGCTGTATTATTGTCCATGTAGAATAATATTTTAAAGGTAGGCATGCTCAAGGAGATTTAACATATGCAAAACACAATGCACGTATGTACTTGCCTTATTCTTCTAATTTTAATTTTAATTTTTATTAAAATTATTTTTTATTGAAAATTTTCCACATACACTAAAAATTACAGATATTTAATCAACATACAAATAAAGAAAAGAAAGAAATATAAAGAATATGATACAAAAAGATAGAAAAATGGTTTCCAACTTTCTTTTTAATTATCATACATCTGTGTAATAAATTATACCTCTCTTTGT